CACAGCTTAGAAATTCACCATGCTGTTGAGAAAAGGTAGTCTGTCTTCATGATTGCCTATTTGACTCAAGGGTGTGCCTCACCATTGCTGCCCAGAATGTCAAGAGAATATGGTAGCAAACAGTGTTAGCTTAGGAAAAGCTAATACTTAATGCCTACAGCCTTCCCTTATCATCATAAGATAAAAAATTAAGGTGTACCACTGTGGATTTTAGGACAGGCTATTTTTGATGGAGTGTTCAGGACTCTCTGGAGTAGTTGCTATTTAAGCATAGATGTGAGTGAGGCAAGAGAATGAATGCTAAGGAAATCAGAATACAAAGAATTCTAGGAAACTGGAACAGAATAAAGATAGGGAGGCAGAGCCAAATTCAGTAGTTCAGGAGCAAACAGAGGCCAGGTGGTAAAAGCATTTGGAGATGAGGTAGGAATAATCAAATGATTTCGGGTTTATATAAATAATAGCTATATTCATCGACTCAATGGAAATGATGACCATGATGTTAAGATGCCTTAAGTGTAAAATTATGCAGAAATCATATCTGGAAGTAAGTAAGATATTTGGATGACTAGGACTATTTTAACTGCTCACAATTGAAAACAGTTCACTAAGATGCCAAAATTTTGATCAGGCACTTCTCTACCCAGGAGGGTACACAAACTAAGAGTTACTGTCGTGTATTGTCCTGTGGCACTCGGTACTCATCTTCCAATAGAAATTTAGAGACCCGCATAGGACTGGTCAGTGGATTCATACGTAGAACAGCACTCATAAAGAAATTACTCCTCTTCCTAGAGTGAACTGTTATCTCCTTTCTCCTAAAGTCAAATGATTAGAACCCAATAGGAGTTGTATATACCACGGAATAAGGAAAGGGGCACGATAGTGGATGGAGAAAGGAGTAGCTACTCCAGATGGAGAAGGAGTACGCATAGGGATGGGTACCAAAGGTTAAGTAGGTTGATGACTAAAGATGAACACTGTCTCTAGGAAACCACATATATCACCAGGAAGATTTCCCAGTGCCCGAACCTGCTAGCGATACACAGAACTGGATTTAGCTGGCAAGAGACTTAGGCTATATACCTACACAGATACACAAGTGAGTTTGTGCGATGTGAGGGAGGAGGGATGGCTCAAAGCCAGAACTGATTTCAAATCTCTATTCTACACAGTTAGCTTCACAGTTTATGTGATATTTGTGTTGGTTTTACAATTAAAATTTTGAATTTGACGAATTAAGTGTCAGTGTCTATAATTATTGGAAATTATGCCATGTGCAAACTTCCATGAAGGAGCACAATGATAAGATTTGATACTTCATGGCTAGATATCTGACTGGAATAAAGAAACATTATTTTAAGGTGATTCTCTGAGATATTATACACATATAACCAAACAAACAAGGCACAAAAAAAATCAACTAAGGAATCAAAAGTCATTAGCTATAAAGAATAATTCAAACATCTAAATCCTGTTTTCACAAAGTAAAGATTGTTCAACTGTTTCTTTGGTTTAATAAAATAATTGGCTTTCTCAATTAGCAATATCTAATTTCTCCAAGCCCTTACAAGAGATATGGCCTCAGATCATCTTCGTTTTGTTCATGTAAGATCTTGTGGGAGAATTAACATTTAAAAAAGACTCATCTAAGTAGCATTGTGCCTCTCTCCTAGGAAGCCACAGATCAAGCTAAATAGAAGTACACATGTATACATGACCACATAAAAATGTGTCTTTATAAAAGTCAGTGGCCTACTTCAACTTCAGGTATTCTTAAATAAGTACAAGAAAAGATAGTATTAAATTATAAATTTTTTTGCAAAAAAATGTTCCTGGTGGTATCAATACATTGGAGCTTCATATGAGACACTCCTTTATCAACTTAAATGGCAGATTTTCCCCCTCTGGTATGTTTTTCTTTTCAATAAAGGCAACTGCGTAACTTTGCTTCCCATGCTACTTTTGCTTCCAAAGAGTTCAAAATCATAGCTATAACTCTATCAAAACAAATGTCTGAAATCAGATCTAGAGAATACTTGGTTTTCTGCTTTTTAATTAAGTAATTAATTAATTTTAACATTTGCTTACTGTTGACTCAGCAGTCATGTACTTTGGAAGGGTATTCTTTCCTGACAATCAAGCTCAAGTCATCAGGCTGGAGGGCAAGTGTCTTCACCTCCTGAGTCATGTGGTCTACTCTGATTTCTCAATTTTTAACAAATCATCCGCCTATCTTCTATCTATCTATCTATCTATCTATCTATCTATCTATCTATCTATCTATCATCTATCTATCATCTATCTATCTATCTATCTATCTATCTATCTATCTTCTATATATCTATCTCTCTAGACTGACCAGCTATATATATACACATATATGAATATATATATTAATGAAGTTTCCCCCACTCTTCATGTATCTGTACACACACACACACATATGAGGGGGAGGATAAATTCACTAATGGCAACACCTTTGCTTACCCAGACAGCTAATTCACTCACTAGTTTAACAATATTGTTCATGAGTAACACACACCCCAATAAACTGCCCAATAAAAAGCATTGCTTTATTATTAGAGTGATACAACCTCAAGATAACTTTAAGGGCTTCCAGAAATCAATCAGATTATTATAGGCATCTGTATTTTATTCAGCATTAAAGAACTTGGTACAAGGTAGGGGATATTTTAGTGATAAAAATCATCCCTGACTAGTCACAGTGGCACTATACCTCTGAATCTAGTGGCACCAGATGGTCATTGTTGTAAAATTGCTAAGTGTATAGAAGGACGATGTAGTAATTTGTTGGCTGATAAAAATACCTGTGGTGAAGCTGCTAACTTGTTATGCAATGCAATATATCTACTGCAGTCTTACAAGAGACTCTCCTGCACAGATATTCCCTTGACTCTGCTTTCACTGTTCTATAAATTGCGACAACCATAACTGATTCACACCCAGGGTGAAGGTTTCTTCTATCCATGGCTTTGGATGCAGAGACAGAATGATTTCCAGAAAATGACAAAGAAAAGGTATTTGAATAAAAGATGAAACTTTTCTCTAAAAAACCTTTTGTCTCTCCTAGAGATACTTTTGAAATGATTAATGTTGCTTGTATATCCTACAACTCTAAGAGTAACTATAAAAACGGTCTAAATTTATGAATTCTCCCAGTGGAGACTTCCAGTCTCGTATTTTCATCTCTTTTCTTTTTCTTTCCTTTTTCAAATTTCTACTAAACTATCATTAAATTTGATCTTCTATACTGATACAGCTTTGTATCTGAATGAGATGTGTGCCTGTGGAGGTCAGAGGTCAACATCAAATGTTCTCTTCCTCCATTGCTCTCCATCTTATTTTTTGAGACAGGGTCTCTCACTAAACCTGGAACTTACCATCTCATTTGACTGGCCAGCTGCTAAGGATTTTCCTTTCTCTACACCCCTACACCAATCCCCACAGCATTGGGTTTACATGCGCACAACACTACTCAGTTTCTATTGTGGTTATTAAAGTAGAATTCAGGGCCCAGGCTGTATAGTGGCTTTTGAGCAGCCTGAACAGAGGGCAGACATATTGTGATTTTCTTTCCAGATCTTTAATACCAATAAGTCTATTTACATATCCATTATCCCCGATTTTGTAGAAGCCTATTCTCATAATGTTTAAACAAAGTTGAAGACCCTCCTTTCATTTTCTGCATCTTTATTTCTATATATACATATAGCCATGTATATAAAACCTTAGAGACACATAAAGAGTTTATTTGTAGTTGAAACATAGTTTTTGTGAAAAAACTAAAGAAGTCTGTCTGTCTGTCTGTCTGTTTGTCTGTCTGTCTGTCTCTCTCTCTCTCTCTCTCTCTCTCTCAGGCAGCCCTGTGCACGCTGCCTCGGTTTCTGTAAGTTCACATGTGTATTGGTCTTTCTGTACTTAAAAGGCTGTTTCCTTGGTGTCATCCACCCTGTCCCCCTGCCCCCTGGCTCTTACACTCATTCTGCCTCCTCTTTGGCAGTGTTCCTTGGACCCAAATGGGAGAGATTTGAAAAAAAAAAAAAAAAAGCACACCTCTGAAGACACGATGACAATTTGCCCAGGATGGAGGTTCCTTGTAATACTGCCAGAGTGGCTTCAATCTCATTCCTCATCAGGAATTCCGACTTCTTGACCCGCTCATCTGAGCTCTGGGATAAGTGGTCAAGTAGTACATTCAATCAGTGCGCTTTCCTTCCCATATATAATTTTAAGAGTCTATGTGTGTTACAAGAGATTTCTTTCTGTTAAAATTTCATAACTCATAGAGTGAGAGACAAATAAAGAATTCCTTTACGCTAGCCAAGAGTTTGAACACCACGAGAGCACAGAGGGGAGAGGCTAACCCACTTTGTGGGCATCAGAGAAAACTATTTGCAGATGATGTCTCAAACAAATGTAGAAATACTTACATTTTTGTTTACAAGAACACACAGACAAATATATTTTATTTATTTTCTGAAATAAATAAAATAGTGAGTTAGGCAGTGTGCCAGATTCGAATCAAATGAAAGAAATAGAGTGAAGTGGGGATTAATATTTGTAAATGACCTGACTTTCCTAGAGCAACAGTGACACATAGTTTTAAGATGTGAATGTTTTCGTAATCTCTGTTGTGTTTCCAACACCTGGCTTATAGTTAATTCAAAAGGGAAAATTTCATTTATATGCTTGACTGAGTAGAAAATGTATCAGCTTAGTGTTTAAAAAGCACCGGTGTTAGTCCTTGTTGGGCAGTTCTCTTAACTTAATTGAACCTGGAAGCTTGAGGAGGCTGAGAAGGGTAACACCTAACCTTGCCTTTTTATACATTTAAATAACTGAACAGCCTAAAAAGCCTGTTATGTTGCTATTTTAAAAGTAGCTCAAGATAGTAGCTTTGAAGTTCTTACTCTTCGAAAGTGCTTATGGATTATTCTTGTTGTTGCTCTCTATAAACAGTGTCTTTGTTGCGCTAGTCACACAAAGTCTCCGCACTAGCCAAGACTCGTCAGACTGGTTCTCTATGGATCATCAGTGACTTCTTTCTTCACCTCACTTTAGCCTACAAAGCCAGGGATGAGCCCAGCCGAGGCATAAGCTCAGTCGCGGACCAGCCACCCCAGGTCTCGGATCTTGCTAGTCAGTGATGTATCGGTGAGTTCCTGGCTTCTTCCTACCCAGCAACTTGTAGTCTGCAGTGGTCTGAGGCACGCAAGGACTTGTAAGACTCCAGCTGATGGTATTTTGTATAGTTTTTACATGACATTATGCCAAGTAGGTTCTTGTCTTTCCCGTAGGAATGTTCCCTCTCTGTCTATTTGTTCATGCTCAGAAGAGTTGTCCAAAATGTCAAGGAGACAGTGATGTACTGCTATGCTTAGTTTGCTTGTTTTGGGGAAGAATAAAATGTTTTTTTTTAATTTAGGCTTTATTGGTATAAATTATGAGAGTATATACTTATTTCAAAAAGTATGTATAGGAATGTAAAAGTGAGATTATTTTGATTAAAGTTGTTTACTTCCCTAAGTTGTCTAAAACTGGAAAGTATAAAGTATTTTGAAAGAATAAGAGGCAATTTAAGATGACTTCTTTGAATAGCTAAATTGTCATAACTAGATTTAGAAATCAATCCAATGAGAGATGTGGTAGTTCAGGGGTAGAGCATTTATTTGACTAGTAAGAGACTCTGGGCTCAATACTCAGCACCACACAGACATCCAACTCCAGTATACCTTACCACAACAAACTTCTCTATTGTTTTATTTCAATGTTAGTAACAAAATTTTAGTCTACTAATTTGGATTAAAAATAATCTTAATTTAGTATTAAAATTTATTTTCTTAAACATATTTGTAAATTTCTTTTGATTTATGCTTGATGAGTAAGTATTTTTAACACTTTGAGAAGAAAATATAAAAAATTCAGTGGAATCTGTGCCTTTGATGCATAAGAAAAAAGCCCGATTTTGTCACTGGTAGAAATTCTATGTGTATTTCCTGAGAAGTTGGCTATTCCTCTAGTATCTCAAAGAGGCAACTAAGAGCTGCAGATCTTGCAAATATAGTGATGTCTTACTTATACAAACATTTTAGTAACCCATGATGCTTTTTTGTATCTTTTCTTCTTCCTCTCAATCACTGTAAGAACGTTACTGTAGAATACAGTACTTCATTAACTATAAGAACATTACTATAGACTATAGGGCTGGAGAGATGGCTCAGAGGTTAAGAGGTTCTGAGTTCAATTCCCAGCACCCACATGGTGGCTTACAACCATCTACAATGAGATCTGGTGTCCTCTTCTGGTGTGTGTATACATAATAGGTAATTTTTTTTTAAAAAAAAATATAGTAACTTCAAGAAAGTCTCTATCCAGTTCACCATACTTCCAGATTTTGCTTGTGTTAGATCTGACTGAATCTGAATTTGATTCTAAATGTGTAGAGACACTGCAATGAAGCAAACATTACAGTGAATTCTGTTTCTATAATTTATCTTTAATTTAAAACCAAAGATGTGCTAATTTTTAAAAACCATATTTCAGGATTGATGAGTTTGCCTCTCAAGTAAACAAACAAAAAATTCCAAACCAACTAACAATCAAAAAAATCTCCCCAATTTGAAGGTTTAATGATGGATGAAGCAAACTATGTGAGAATGGGGGCAATACTGGATGAGATAGGTAAGGGAATGGGCTGAGATGGGAAGGGATTGTGCTTAGAGCACAAGCTTTCAACAGGATTGCTATGAAGAAATAGGAAATGTGTTGATAATGTCTGTTTGAGGACTTTGCCTCGTTTCTAGAGCATACAAGAAACAGCTGGAGAGTTGTCTTTACATTCACATTTATCATTAGCCAAATTCTGAGAGCCTTCTTCCTATCCCACCTATATGAGAACTGCCCGTTAAGAAACTTAAGGGGAAGGAAATAATTTGGACTGGGTGAAGATTTTTTCCTCTTAGCCTTCATTTTCTTCAAATAGTTATGCTATATTATTCTCTGAGTATGAAGAGGTCAACACACAGATTTTATAAACACACATAAAAGAAGAAAGTCAAAGAAACCCTCATTGTAAGGTTATAGGAGGAGGCCTGGGAAGAGAAGATATTTCTTAAGTATTTTTATTTTCTTAAGTCATTTACTAGTAACTGATGATAATGAAAACTAAAAGTAAGTGGATCAAACTTATAGGAACTAATACCTATGCATTTTAAATAGCTGAAGGTGAACTGAGTAATATTCAAATGAAACAAAATAGACAGCTCATTTTCACTTATAAACTACTCGAAGAGTGGCCCATGTACTCCCTCCCTTTAGAATCAATGAGCACTTAACAAAAGTAGAGTTATTTAGCCCCATGCCACAAAGCCTAATAAATCCGTGGTTGAACCACGAGTTAAACATTTTCCCCAATGAAATCTCAACTCCGTCATGTTTGAGAAAACAACAATGTAGTGTAGACGTAAAGGAAGGAATATGTGAGGCTGGTAAGAAAAACAAAGCATAAATGAGACAGTTGTTATTCAAAAGAAGTCACCCTGTGCTCTATTTAAATTGAAATAATTATGTCTTAATGAGAGGTGCTCTCTCCCTGCTCACCTTCCCCTTCAAAGGAGATGAGCACTTATTTATGCAGCACAGTGGTGATTACGAAAGAGAGGATAATTTCAGAAGGTATGGAAGCTAAGGGAAGGTGCCGCCATATTTGGGTGGTTTATGTCAAACAGGGAAGCAGGTCTTATTTTCATCTGCAAAATAGGTTTGTTTGCAGGAAAAAACTTCATCATACAACTACGCCACACCCGGAAATTAGTCAGCAGTGATATTGAAAGGAATTTTCATGACAGATCGGTTCAGAGTTGCGACAGGCCTGTGCTACAAGAGTTTAACATACACTCATTTCTCTTTCAGCTAAGATCGGTCCAGTTCATAGAAAACGTGTTACTGAAGTTTTCGTTGCGATGAGCCTTATGTGGATTCATATTGTGTATCTTGTAAAATGAGTAATTCCGTTGAGTAATGCACTCCCAAGTGATTATTGTTATCGCTCTTTTTAAAAGACAAGGTGGTGTGGTTCAAGTGGTCCGGGCTCCCTGTGGAACCTAGTACTTGCACTTGTAGTCTGAAGTGTAGGCCCTTTTACCCAGAACAGAGTGTTGTCACAGGTGGTAAGAGAAGGGCCCTTTAGGCATTGGAGAGCTTTACCAAAATGGAAAAATCCCCCCATATATCTACATGGATAAACTATGTATGAATAAACTACACAGGTCAAGAGACAGAGGGTATGTAAAGCCAACATGAAATTATCTACACATGTGCTGAGAATGAGAGGCTGGATTGTAATTTTACTTTTATGTTTGGATTTCTACACATCTTCAAAGAGTCAACTATCTTACTTGTGTCTAAATTTTGCCTTCTATAAAATGAACATGTGACCTAATTTTCCTGCTGTCTTAACGGTGACCAGTGACCGTGAGCATAGCATTTATATTACATCAATGTCTGTACGAATGAGTTCATTGGTCAGAATTCACTGTATCTGTCTTTTCCTCTGAAATGAGATTGGTTGTTTTAAAGTGAAACTATTTGAAACATCAGCACTGAGTTTTATACCCAGGTCTGATAGCGTTCTAGCGTCAGTGGTTGTGGAGTAGTTCTCCTGAAACATTACGTGGAAAAATGGGTTCCATGACTGTTCAACAGCTCTATCAGTGTTAAGGTTCAGAAGAACTATATTAATAGTTTTACTCTCATTGGGTAAGGTGACATTCAGAAAGCTGAGGCTGTAGGATTGTTTGGGTTCAAAAGTTCATGGACATCCTGGGCAATATAGTGAAACCTCAGCTAAACAAAACACAAGATAGAGTTCATTCCAGCATATATATATATATTTAGCTACTTGGTTGAAGATAATGGGTGATAAATGAAAAGAATAATTTCTCAGGGCTGAGATCAATAGACCAGGGATCAAGGAGGACTGAAGGCTGAGAATGAAGGTGGGCTGCAGCATTAAGACATGGCGTCAGGACCTGCAAGCCCGACCTCTCTCCAACTACACACATGGCTTGCGTGGGAGGGTGAGTTCTTAGGGTTTTCAAATAGTAAGTCTAAGATGATGAACTAGTTTATGGCAAATCCAAAATACCACTGGAGCATCATTAAATTTTACCTTGCAATGTTTCATCTGAAGATGTCAGATGGCATATAGTATTTTGAATCTGAATAAGTAAACACAGAGGAATTTTGCACTTTGTCTAAAGTTAAACCCTGAGTCAGAGCACAACAAAATAATAATTGCTATCATTTGAGTATACTGTGTAGCAACTATCATTCTAAAACATTACTTGTATTTAATCGTTATAACAACCTATGGTTATATTGTACCCATTCTATACATGGGGAAATAGAGGCTTAGAGACATACCATTTTTATTCAGTTGGTAATAATGAAAGAACTGAAAACGAACACACATCTGTAAGACTCCAAAATCCATGCTTTAATCACAATGCGGATCATCTTTATTGGGCCTTTCTGTTCATCTATGTGAGCTCTGTATGACCAGTTTTACTGTCTTACCGTGTTAAGAAATAGAAAAGTTATACTTTGAAAGAACGCATCAGTTATTCAAGAAATGTTCTTTGAAATTAGCTCCTGCAACAGGAAGCATGAAAATTCCATTGTGCAAAGGGCACGGAACACGGCAAGATTAGATAATTTGCATATGGCTACAGGAATAGGTGAGTCAGTCGGTGCTAGAGATAGAATCTGACCTCCCAGTGCACCTGTGCTGTGCACGGTTCAGGAGGAGAGACGGATTAGTGTGGGCTAACTACACAGCCCACGCTATCGTTGTGACTCATACTATTAGAATGCGAATAAAAATAGATGACTCTCTTAAAAATTAACATTATTCATGTGTTGTATACACGTTGATTTGAAATACCTACACATTATAAGACAGTTAAATTGGGCAAATGAGCATGCCCAGCTCTTCAGGTAGATGATTATTTTTAGTGAGAACCGGTAAAATCTAGCCTCAGTATTTTTCATGTATATGATTAAATCGTTAAGTTATTATTAGATGTAGTCACCATGCGGCAGCTCCCTTGACCTTCTTCCTTCTAGCTAACTGGAAATCTGTTTTATAAAGCTAG